TTGCCTGGGGGGTTAGAGGGCAGCCAGGCAGGGACCTGCTCTCTGCAGCTGCCCTGGGGTGAGAAGGGACCTTGCTGCTGCTGCTGCAGCCCCAAGCCCTGGCTGTGCTCTCCCCGGCCCACTGGCTGCCTGCAGTTTCTCCCAGGTGCTGCCCATGGTCTGGTCCATGATGCTGGCATGGTCCCTGCCCCTCCAGGATCCCACTGTCCTTCCCTGGAGAGTCCCTTGCTCTCGGGATGCTGTTGAACAGCTCTTTATCTGCTTCTTGAAGCAAGGTTGTAAACCCAAGTGTGAAAAAGGGAGAAGAGGGACCCAGGGAGCTGAACCCCAGGAGAGCTCCCGATAAGGGAGGTCAGCTATAAATGTCCTGCCTTGGGCAGGTTCTGCTATATCGAGGGGAGGAAGGGAACACTAAAGTCTTCTCTTAATCCCCAGCCTGGTTTTGTGCTGAGACAAGGGGAACAGATCCCCTGCTATCACACTGAAGGGTGCCCACCCTCAGCTTTAATGTCAGTGCGGATGCCCATGCGTGCACACCCCTGCACACACTGTGCCTCGTGCTCCCCAGCACCGCTCCGGTGACCTGAAACATAGAATGCTGCCGAGGTTAAAATTAACTTCAGGCTATATTCAGCCAGGCCACAAACACTGCCTGGGGCAACACCAGTGGCATGGCTGGATGAAGGCTGGAGAAGGAGCACACATGAGCAATGTGGAACCTGGGAGCATGGCTCAAGACAGCCAGGTTCTGGGAGAGAGGGGCTAAAAACATCCATGCTCCACGTTAACAGAATCCCAGACTGGTTTGGGTTGAAGGGACCTTAAAGCTCATTCAGCTCCAACCCCTGCCACGGGCAGGGACCCCTTCCACTAGAGCAGCTTGCTCCAAGCCCCTGTGTCCAACCTGGCCTTGAACACTGCCAGGGATGGGGCAGCCACAGCTTCTCTGGGCACCCTGTGCCAGCGCCTCAGCACCCTCACAGGGAAGAGCTTCTGCCTAAGAGCTCATCTCAGTCTCCCCTCTGGCAGGTTAAAGCCATTCCCCTTGGCCTGTCCCTGCAGGCCCTGGTCCAAAGCCCCTCTCCAGGTTTCTTTTAGAAATTATTCTTGTAGATTTTCTGTGCTCCTGAGCACATTTAAAGTCTCTGATGAATCCCTTGGGCTGAGCTACATGGGAACATGAGCCACAGCCAAGTGCATGGGACCAGGGCGGGCAGCACTGCAGCACACTGCCTCTTTAGGGACATTGTGGAGAAACCTCTCACCCCACCACTGTGCATTTGGTGCCTGACACAAGGTGAGTTGCCTGATAGGCATCGGTGCCTATAGGACCCAGATGAACTGGGACAAGGGAAGAACGTTCAGGACGAGCAGAAGGGCTGAGTTCTGGTCCCATCCTGGGTCACGTTGTGGCTCTGCTGACACTGTTTGGGAGCTGCAGGACTGAGGTCACCCAAAGCCAGAGGAGAGATGGCAGCTGTGCCTTTCCCTGAGCCCTGGGCTGACCCCGTGCAGCCAGTCTGACCGCACGCAGGCTGGGATGGTGATAAACAGCGCAGAGCCCAGTGACAGAGGGCTGAAAGCCCTCAAAGACTCAGTGGCATTTAGACAATCCTCCCCCAGACGAGTGGTGCAAGGCAGCATCTCGCTATGTGTTCCTTGGCACTCTCCTGAAGGAGCATGGCACCCTCCCTGGAGCCAGGAGAGGAGGCAGGATCACGGTGACATTGGAGATAGGGCTCCACATTGGAGAGGACGAGAGGACAAGGGAAGTTTTCCCTTTGCTCTTTGGGCATCATCCCAAGACCTTTGTCAGGTACAGGAGGTTTAAAACGCATACAATCCCTGGTCACCCCACGCCTCTGGGTTGCACTGTTTGGATCCTGGTTGTGGATCAAGCGCAGGGTGCGGTGGGATACACAGGAACACCCAGCTCTGCAGCACGTGCCCTTCCTGGATCAAACCTGGGCTGCTTTGACTTGCAGGAACGCTGGCTGTGCCTGACCTGACTTCAAAGCGTGGTGCCTCCACTCCCCATGGCCTCAGGAGTGGAGCTGCTTTTGGAAGCCTTAGAGAGAGCTCTGACATAACAGGGAAGCAAAGCTCCCCCAACACATTGCTCCGGCCATCACTGGAGGAGAGAGATGTCCCCGTACAGCAGACCAGGGACACATGTCCCTGTCAGTTTGCTCCTTGGATGGTGGCCTGCCCAAGCACGGTGCTTTCCAAGGAGGTGACCTTAAAAAGAGCAATCACAGCCTGCGTTAAAGGTTCCTGCTCCCAGGTGTTTCTATTGGGTCTGGGCAGGCACCCTGGTCCTGCTGGCCAAGTGCTCTCACAGAGCCCGGACACAGCACCCTTATATGGACCCACCACTGAAACTGCTCTCAGACCCCTCAATGGTCCACACGGAGATGAAACCTTCAAACCCACCCAAGGCACCTTATCTCCTTCTCTCACACATGAAGCCCAGGTTTCTGATCTCCTGAAGGTCTCACTGGAAGGCAAAGGCCTTTCATGGCTTCCAGGCTGAGCTGCTCCATCAAAATCCTTAAAAAATAATTTTCTCACCTCTTTTGGAACAATAAATAACCCAAACTCCAATTTTTGCAATAATAAAGAATCCAAAAAGCCCATTTGCTTGCCTTCTTCTCAACCCCCTTCCAAACATTTGTGTGTAAGAAAATCCCAAACCCAGAAAGGCTTTGAACCTGTGATAGAGCTGAGCAGAAGAGCAAAAAGGGGCCCTAAGTCAGCATATAGCCCAAAAATAGAATAAGAGGGTTATCTGAAAAATGCACTAAATATAGCCAAAAACATTTCGGGCCCCAGCTGCAGCTCTGGCCAGCAGGCACACAGCAAAGTGCCACTTGCAGACAGACAGGCTTTTTAAAGGTCCACATCTGTCCCAGCTGATGTGCTCAGAGGAGGTTCATGTTATACCTCGGTTGGATACAGCCCCATGTAGCTCTCGGAGCTCAGAAAGTGGGTGACCAAGATTATCATCACTGCAGAAGCATCCCACCCAAGGAAAGCCTCAGGGATGTCCCCTGTGCAAGAGGTACCCATAGGGGATCTGCAGTGGCTTTCTGAAGGCAGAGGCACTGGGTGATCCTGCTGGGATGGTACCAACCAGGCTCCGCTGCTGCCACCACAGTGTGACAGCCGTTTGCACAAGAATCCTCTCCTCTGGCCACCAGATTGCTCAGATCACCCTGAACTTCAGCAATGGCTTTGGTGTTGGCTTAACCCAGGGGGAAAGGTGCAGGCAGGGGCTCCTTTCATCCGAGGCAGGTCATGCTGCTCCGTTTACAACACAGAGTGGGAAACTTTCCAGTTTCCCAGTCCTTCGCAGCCCTGTAAAGGCCTAACCCTGCCCTCTGCCTTGCACAGCATGGAACAAAGACATACTGCAAAAGCTTTTGGGGTGGCAGGGGGCCAGCAGCATCCCTGAACCCAGCAGCATCCCTTAGCGCAGCAGCATCCCTCAGCCAGAGCCAGCACTGTTGCCTTCAGCCCTTTGCAGTTGAGTTGTCCCCAGTGGGTCTCTGCTTGCCCTGGTTGGGGCTTTAATACCAGACCCAGGGGGTGGCATCCTCCTGCAGCCTGCCAGACCCCTGCCGACTCCCCAGCCTCAGAAATACTCTGCTTCCCCATCTCGTCTCCCATTGAAGTGCACATAAGTTGCAGAGGAGGACGAGCATGGCCAAGGGGAATAGAGGTGAACCCCGGTGGGCAGAAGGAGGGGAGGAAGGGAATTTTGCTGTACAGCTCTGCATGTTTCTGAGATGCAGTGATTCCTGGTCTCTTGTGATTAAAAAACCCCGTCCCCTGAGCATGAGGACCAAGACAAAGGCAGAAGGAAGCTCATCAGATGTGTCTGGCAGGGCCAAGCCTCGCTGCCTTTTTGAAATGAGATAGCAAAGTCTCATTGAAAGAGGTCCAAGATCCTTTGAAGTCCTCACAGTTCATTAACTGCAGCCTGAGCCAACGGCAGATCCAAGCTGCCAAGAAGCAGCCTCACCTGCAGCAGCGGGGTCTCCTCTGGGAACAGAGTCATGTTGGAGCACGAGGCTTCATCACCTGATGCTCGGAGATGCTTTTTAGCCATGGAGTTTTAGGCAAACCCACACTTCGCCAGGCAAGCCTGACACAACCGGCTCAGCTCATGGGGCACGCGAAGAGGCACCGCTCCCCACGGCACTGCCCTAGGGAGCTAAGGTGTTTTGGGGAGCTAAGGCCACTCCTGCTCCCAGCACTCATCAGCCCTTCCTGACCTCCCGGTTTCAGCCACTGAGGAAGCTGGTTTTGCAGACTCAGAAACACAAACACGCCTCCGAGCTCTGGGAGCAGATCTGCATCAACGTCCCGGACCTTCGTAAGGGCTTCTCTCACGAAAACTGTGTCATGGTGTGGTACAGATAAGCTCTCACAAACAGTGTCAGGCGTTCCCGTCCTCGCCTGCCCGTCACGGGGCCGTGACAACCCATCATTATAGTTGAGACCAGGAAGGGGATGGAGAGGCGAGGTCACCCCGGGGCATGCAGGGCTGGTGGCTAAAGGAGAGCACCAAACACGGAGAGGGAACCCAGGCCATCCACAGGAGCTTTATTTCAATAAGCTCTTTCCCTGGTCTCATCCGAATGAGAGCAATGACACCAGGGCAGCAGCAGAAGAGCATGTTTAGGAGCACCACTGCTTTTCTGGCTGCAAATCCTCTTTGAACCAACACAAACTTAGATGAAAGGCTCCTGAGGAGCTGCTTCTCCTGCAACCCCCCCTGTGCCCAGCTGGATAAGTTCTGTTTGTGTATGTGTGTGTGTAACCTGGGCTGTTCAAAAGGCAACAATAGCTTTTTACTTCCTGCTCTTCAGGACCTCAAGGCCACCAGTGAGGTGATGCAAGAGGTGGCTGTGATTACAGAGCCACCAGCGCCAGCGCTGCTCTCCTGTCCTGGCTACACAGGGTGCTGTGCAAGAGGGGATTTAGTGACCTGGTGTGAAGGTAAAGCTGGAGGCAGAGCCAGCTGTTGCGCCTGGCCTCCCCTGCACAGGGGGGAGGATGGGGAAAGGCAACAGAGAGGATAGAAGTTGTGTTATAAAGTATTAGATGTGCCTGGTTCAGCACTCCAGATACTGCCATTGGGATGGAGCTGGAGTATCATCATTCCACCCTTGCGGCTGGCATCAGTGGGGCAGGTTCAAGGGGTTGCCATTATAAAGGAGCACTTACAGGTATGCTCCAGTTCAGGAAGATGCTTCTCTGGTCAGTGGGACTCCACCTGATCCTGTGCTGCCCTATGAGCAGGAAGCAAAACACGGTGTTTTCATCACCACCTCTTTCCGTCAGGGATCTGAAGAAACAAAGCTGGAGTGGAATGAAGATGAATACAACTGACACACCGAGGATGGTGGCACATACCCTGCCCTGCCTCCCTGAGCTCCAGTGCCAGCAGACGTGAGTGAACAGGAACTCAAGCCTGGATCCCCTCTGTGCCCAGGGTGACACCACACGGTGCCGCTCGGGCTGTGTCAGGGCCACCAGCACCATGGCCATTGAACCCAGCACCCTGCAGCAAAGCAAGAGGTGTAGTGGAGGGGGAAGCAGAGAGGGGACCTCCAGGGTCTGCCTGTCCTCCCAGCCACGTCACCCAGCACCATAACCTGCTGGGTGCCATGATGATGGGAGCAGTGTCCTCACCCTCCCTTGGGCTGCCACAAACCACCATCCTCACCATGGCAGATACACCAGTGGTCTCTGGAGCACGGCACAGAGGCAACAGGGTGGCATTGACACAGCCCGGAACAAGCAGGGAGGGATGTGAGCCGTGGCCCCATGGGAGCCGATGCTCTTCTTCCCCCTGCACCCTGAGTCCCTCCCCATGAGGACAGGAATAGCCATCAAGGGTGGAGGTGGGCAGAGGGTGTACCTCATTGACAGGGTCCATCCCAGGGGGATATGGGGGGAGCATGCCTGTAAGTGCTCCTCTATAATGGCAATCTCTTGAGCCTGCCCCACTGATGCCAGCCCCAAGGGTGGAATGATGATATTCTGGCTTCCTCCCAATGGCAGTGTTTGGGATGCTGAACCAGCACCCAGAGTAGAATCGGGGGGCATGGCAGCTCTGGCTGCCAGGGTGCTCCAGCATGGCAGCAATGGGGAGAACATGGTTTTCCAGATGTTGGCCATAAACACCCCATTGCTTCCAACACAATGGCAGCATCAAAACCTTCAGCCTTGCTGAGCACCCCATGCTCTGCACCCATTGCCCAGCCGTGGGGTGAGGAGACGATGGGGCTTGGTCGGCAGCTCAGGCAACGCGTGACGGGCACGAGGGAAGGGTCCCTGGGGCAGCACTGGCCGAGTCAGGCACCACAGGACAGGCTGGGTGTGACTTCAAAGAGCCAGCTCCCACAGGACAAAGCAGCAGCGTGGTGACTCCTCTCGGGGAGCCGGTCACAAGGGTGAGCACCCAGCAACCACGCTGAGCATCCGGAGCAGAGGCAGGCGCAACAGGCGAGTTATACATCAGGGAGGCTTCGAGCATGACCACGAATAGCCCCAGGTTCAGGCGGGAGGACCACAGGCTGAGTCACCGGTAGGTCTGAGCGCCATGGTCCTCAGCACCAGCCACCAGCTCCCCTCCCGCCCAGCTCCCCAAGAGCATCCTGCCAGCACCATCCCACCTTGACCAAGCCTCTGCCCTCTCCCTAGGATGGCTTGACCCCTCCTTTTCACCCTGACACCCCCCATCTGTGACAGGAGGCTCCGCACTGGTGCCATGGGGACACCCCCAGGGTTGGGGTGCCCTGTGCCCCAAGGAGCCAGCCCTCAGTGCTCACCCGGCTGGCTCCAGGAGAGGAAACTGGGAGCCCTCTGCTCTCAGCACCCAACTCACCACGCTGCAGCCTCCCTGTCCCAGCCCACCCAGCAGCCCCATGCCGTGTGGCAGTGCTGCCGTGAGACACAGTGGTGCAGGTACCTCCTGCCCCAGCTCAGGCAGTGGAACGGGCTGTGCTGGGCAAAACCTTCCCATGTGGCTCCCTGAGCTGGTTTGCTCATGGCCACCACCTCGCAGCAGGGCTGGAGGAGGGCAGAGATCCCTTTTATTAACCCTGTCTTTCCACTGGCCTCCCATACAAGAAAAGATGGGCAATAAAAGAGAGGGTGATACAGAGCTGCTTTCATAACTCACTTTGCCTTTCCAGCCCCTCTTTGCTCCAGCTGTTACAGACCTGCCTGGCTTTCTTTTGCTTGAAAAGGAGGAAGGAAACGGGGCTGCAGGCTGTGAATGCTCAGCCTGTGTCCTCGGTGTCCTGGATTTGACCCAACCTTTTGCTATAAGGGACTTGAAAGCCAATATTCTACTCAATCAGAACAAACCCCATGTGTTTGTTATAAAGGAGTGAATCTAGAAGGTCCACAAGCCTATTCAATTGCAAAAATACTGCCTGGAATACTGCAGACCTGGCTGTAAATTTGCTGCCACATTAAAAATACTATTAAGCCCTTTGATATATTAAAATGAAAGAGACAGGCAGAAGGCAAAGTGCTGAATGTACTTAGCAGAGCAAACACCAACTGCACTCCGCAAGGAGAGGGGAGGGAATCGATAGCAACGTTTCATTACCGTTTCATCAGCCAGGTTAATCTGCCACCAGGATGCAATCGATGTCACGTCCAAACGCATGATCCCGTTGTCTGGGAAAGCATGGACGGCTTCAGGGCTTATCTAGATACAACTGGAGCAGCAACCCAAGAAATGCTGCAGTGACAGTTAATAATGAAACCTGTGAGCCCCAGAGAGCTCCTGAAAGGTCGTGGTCTGACCAAGGCTGGCTCAGTCACTGCAGCGCTTCTGGCTCTGAGATCAAGGGACCTCTGGTGATGGACAAGGGGCAGGGGTTGCTGAGATTTTCCAGCAGTCTCATTGCTGTCTCCCAGCCACCTCCATCCACAGCACTCATACTCCTTTTATCCTCTTTTAAATATCTGGTTTTCCTTTGGTTTTTAATGACAACAAGTTGTGTATCTAAAGGCAGCTCCTCGCTCCTCTCTCAATGCGCAGTTCTAGCCAGGATTTGTCTTAAATCTCAAAGGAAAAGGTTTGAGCTGTCCTTGGCTAAGTTACTCTGAACTTCAAGCTCCTGATGGCATGTGGCAGTTGTGTTTGGACACATATATATCCCTCTATATCAAGTGCTTCAGTCAGTCCCAGCTCCAGGTTGTTATTATGGCAATGCCGTACGAACCTGATCTGTTGACCGGTGAGTAGGTGACCTGGACTCACATCAGTACCTGGTGGGCAGCTGGAGGTGGGAAAGCTTCATACAAGGGGTGTTACATTCCTAGTGTTTTCATGCAAAGAAGGGGAGACAATTCTGTTCCACAGGTGGGTTTCTCACTGCTAACCATTCTCCCACAGCCTGGACAATGTGAACATCTTAATAATGTGGTGCCTTTGCCCACTGAAATTCCTGACTAAAGAAATGCCCATCTTTTTCCCTGAGCCACGAGGTTGCTGGGGAATGCTCTGTACCCCACTGCTGTTTTAGAAGGTCCTGTTACCTTCCTGTAGGCTTCAATATTGAGGTTGAGGTGAAATGAAAGATTTGAGAGATGCCATGCAAAATGGCCCCCTGCATAGCGAGCCCTTTGCTAGGGAAGGGACGGGATTTGTGCACTTTTCCCCTGGTTGTTTAAAAGACCTTTTAATTCCTGGGATTTCTGTGCAAATGCAATTGTTTGAAGGCCTCTGCTTCGTGCTACTCTGGAGTTGCAGTACTACAGGCTGTATGTAGATACCTATTGCTCAAGGCCTTGGATGGCCCTGCACAAAGCAGAGGATGTGACGCTGCTCCAGACAGGCAGCCCAGGAGCAGGCAGCCAGCTGCTCTGGACTCCCTCCAGTGCACCGCTCTCTATAACAGCTCACGTGCTGTCCCCTGCCTCTGCAACAGGTCACTGCGAAGTGCCCAGCTCTCGGGCAGCTTTCCATGACAGCCCCTCTTGAGGAAGGCAGAGCTCCAGTGTCCCTGGCATAAGCCCCCATCGCACTGGTTGACGTCGCAGACATCCCACTGCAGCAGAGAGCCAGACTTTAAACACTTGCGTTCTCTTTCCCAGCACTTAACGATTTCCTTCTGGCTGGACCATTCCCAAAGCTGAAAAGAGGCAGAACAGCTACAAATAATTCATCCAAATCGTGCTGACAACAGCAAACACCCAGCCTGTGATTCACTGCTGCAGTGGGGAATTCTGTGCTCCAGCATATGGCTTCTGCTGGAAGAGGTGGACTTGGTACCAGGGTTAAAAACACTGCTCCTGCAACTACCAATGGACTCTGGAAGTGATCAGGTGAAACCAGAGGAGGAGTCTTGGTAATGCTCAGATAGATTCCTTTTCATTTCTTTCCCATCTGATTGTAGGACAGATCCCAGATGGAGACAAACGAGTTGGGTTAGACCTAACTGGGAAAAGCTGACAAGCTTCCAGGTGCACAGCATGTTCTCCAAGTTCCCTCCTCAGCCTGTTCCCACTCCCCTTGTTGAGTGAGCAAGGCAAAGGAAGGCGCACATTTCGTTTTAACAATTGCCTTTCCAGCCATCACACCCTGTTGGCTTCGTGTCTGAGCTCCTCACAAATGGAGAAAATCATGTTGATTTGGAAATCAGTATTGTCAGCTTGGCAGTGCGAACATCCGAATGCTCCCTCCTCCCCTTTCTGCTGCTTCTTTTCTTTATCCCAGCTGGCAAACACACTTCTACGACACTGGGGGTCTCTGCACATGGGTCTGTGGCCTTGGTAAGCACAGTACGTGTCATAGATCATAACATAGGTTGTTACTACCTGTACGTAGCCCTTAGCTGCTCATCCAGTGGGTACTGCAGAGTGTTCTCAAACCCTGTGAATGAGCAATACTGTACCAAAGCAAAGCACTGCTGAAATCCTGGGACAGAAATACTCCGAACTGTTAAAGCAGTGACCCATGAATGCACCGCACCTGCAGTGCTCCTCATTGTATTAAAAAGACCCAAACCACCCACTGCTCTGCAAGTTCGTATTTACCCACTGGTCTTTGCTCAGAGCTGCCAGGTAAGGCAGCTACAAGGATGAGAAGTGAAACCAACAGGGAATCCATAAACCTTCACGAGCGTGATACGAACCATCACGGCTACCCAGCACGGGATGCAAGGCAGGGACCTTCCCAGCAGAAGGGGGGCAGGTCCATCACGATGTTGTTATCGGGAGCTCATCACACACCCAGGTTGTGCAGCCCTGAGTAAGCTGAGCGGAATGATGGCAAAGTCAACGCCAGCTGATGAGACAGCCTGCTTTAAGCTGCTGCTGTCAAGCTGAGTGGTTTGTAACGCTCTGTTTTGACAATGTCCAAAGGCCAAACAGCGCTGTTTGTCAGAGGCTTTAGATTCATCTTGCCTAACTTCAGCTGTCCAGAGTTTCGGTGTGCAGTTCACGTAATCAGCTTGGCCCTTCTCCACCCAGGAGAGGTGTCTGAAGTAAGTGTGCAGCCCTCTGGACAAGCCCATCTCTCCTTCACGTACACAATGAGCTTCTACTAGCTGCTTGTTGGCATAAGTAGCCAGTGGGAATTACAGCTTTCCTCTGTGGGCATTTTCATTTCCTTAAAATGCCTTTTAAAAGTCAAATGTAAAACGTTCAATGTGGCACCAGAAATGGTCTCTGGGGGCTGAGAAAAGCTGATTTTCTTTCTTACAAGGGGAGCTGCCTTTCACGTAAAGGAAGTTCCTGGCATATGAAGCCACACAGAGAAACCTGAAGTGGAATTTATCCACTCCTCTCTCTGAAGCCAAAGAAGAGCTGATCACACAGGCTCCATTTTTGATACAGACGGCTGCTAACCTCCATAAAAGACCACACAGCTCATGCTGTCTGTTGTCAACCAGCAGCAGGAAGACTGGAAGGTAGCTGCACTACTGCTACTGCAGCCTACCCGGAAAATCTGCTGTTTGCCAAGCTGCTAAATAAAAGGCAAGCACTTTTCTCCCAGCAATTTATAAAACCAGCATCACCCTGCAATTTACAGCAGCTTTAATGCAAGAATGCTGAAGAAAGGGAATAATGAGAACTCATGGAGCCCAAACAAACTAAATGCATATGAATTGAGAGGTGGGTATTTTTTCATTGTCAGAACAAAAAGCTGGCGGGTGAGGCACTGGAATGGGTTGCCCAGGGAGGTTGTGAATGCTCCATCCCTGGTGGTGTTCAAGGCCAGGCTGGATGAAGCCTTGGGTGGCAGGGTTTAGTGGGAGGTTTCCCTGCCCATGGAAGGGGGGTTGGAACTGGATGATGGCAAGGTCCTTTCCAACCCGAACTATTCTAGGATTCTATGTAGCCAATGAACTCCAACAGGAGACAACGTGGAAAAGAAGAGGCAAAACCAAACGAAGTGTTTTATCAATAAAGGACCCTGGTACGTATGAGTACATTAAAGTGGACTTCATGGGAAAACCAAACCCACCAAAGGACAGCAGTGACGACACTGCGACTATTGCTGTGTGAGGTCTGTGGTGGGAAAGGCAGAAGAAGAGAACATAGTGTAGCACTGAAGTGGTTGACCATAAGGAAATGAAACATGACAGCTTGTCCAAAAGAAATGTTGGGTGAAAACCATCCCTTTGGGACATGGGGGTGGAGCGGAAGAGATCCCACGGGAAGAGGAAGCATCTCTGAGCTATGAACGCTGTTGCATAGGGCCCTGATGAGATCTCAGTTAGAATAACAGTTGTGCTCCTCCAAGAGCAAAAAGATGGAATTCGAGTGGAAGAGCTGCCAGGAAGGATTGTAGTGTTCCTGAGGAACCAGCATGCCTTTTGCACAGCGAAGCTAGAAAAGGAGTGGCTTGTTTACCCAGAAAAATGTCACCATTGCGTAATTCCAGCAGGGCACACAAAAAGTGCCCAAACCAGCATCTGTTTGCAAGAACAAAGATGAATCATGCCTGGATTGGCTCAGTCTTAAACAGTGTTTTATGAAAGTTCTGTGATGCAACGTCACCAGGTTGTATTCATCATCCAAATTATCAGCGTGGGTGCCTCACATAAGCCGTGCAATCAATGGAGCAAAGAAGCTTCCAACAGCAGCTCTCAGTTGACTTTTGGGCTCCATCTAGATCTGCACTTTTGTGTTGGGCAACAAACACTGGAAGCTTTAGGGTAGGCAGGGAGAATAAGCTGCATTTGCTGTTGGACCAGAGATCACTTCATTGTCCTGCTGCAGGACTGCTGATGGTGCCACAATAGGAGATGCTCAAACTTCAGATGCTTAAACCACTCCCATGCTTCAGTATACCAAACCCTCTGTGCGTTAGTACCAACTCATATGCATAGCAAGGAATTTTAGGAAGAAAGGATAGCACATCAAAGCCCTGATGCTGCAAAAGCTACCATGTCTGGGGTAACCACAAGGACGTGGGAGATCTCTCTGCTGAAAACCCCCAAATATGGACTGAGCAAGCCCTTTTTACTGAGTTTTGTGGTTTTCTGTGTGCTGGCTTTGAGCTTCACACCACTGCTCAGCCGCACAGTACATGCTGCCAGGTGATGTGATGGCTTTCCCTAAACCCACAGCAGCCTGGGTCTCTTTAATCTCTTCCTGATTTTCACAAAGCTTGTAGGAACCCTGAGGTTTTTAGAGGGCTGCTCCTGTGTCATTTGGCCAACAGCGGGTTCAGAAGTTATTGCCAAAGGCACATGGTGTGTGTGTGCCTATTGCAACTCCTTACAGTCCCAGGTTAACACCCTGAGTCAGTGTCACTCTGAAGACAGATTCCAAGACTCTAGCACCTAACCCACTCATATTTGCCTTACAGATTTGATGCTTTGAGAGGGCTGAACATGTGAACTTAGTTTATGAACCTCAATCCATTGCTGGCCTCAGGATCTCCTGTTGGAGACGCATGTGAGCAAACCTCTGCTCCAGAAACAATCACTGCATTTGTCATGCATTATTCTTTTGACCTTTCTTTTCAGTTGCCTTCTGCACTCCGGTTGAACACAGAACAACTGCAGTGGCACGATTTCACATCTGATTCCAGGCGCTCTCAGAGGTTATCCGAATTTCCCCAGGGCTTCTATTTCCCTGCGCTGCATCAGATGGTGCTGGTAAGCACATGGCACAGCTCAGACAGCAAAATCAGCATCTCAGAGCAGTGCGGCTTTAACCACACAACTGCGTTCCATTTGTTCAGCAGAGCAGCACTCTCAGGCAACCGCTGTCAGCTGGATCAGAACTGTCACTTGGAAAGCAATCAGCGCTGGGGGAAAAAAGCACGTTTCACATCAGAAAGCTCACGAGAGTTCTGTTCACAGCTGCAAAGAAGAGTCAGCATTTCTAGCTCCTTTCTTACAGGTTCCTGCACAAATAAATTAACTTGGATAAATCCAGTCTGATTGATCAGAGGATGTGCCAAGCCCCATCAGTCCTGGGGCCATCAAGCCCCGTGGCCAGCTATAGTGCCCATGCCAAAAGGAAATCAGTTCTTACCCCCATAACCAGCACCTTCATAAAAGGTTGAACTTGATGATCTTAAAGGTCTTTTCCAACCTAGCTGATTCTGTGCTAGTGCTGAAAGCAGAAGAGTTGGACACTGAAGCTTCCCTTGCTGCTTCAGGACCAGATTTGCTGTCCTATGGCAGTGATTAGAGCACATTAGAGGAAAGCCCTGCAAAGGCAGCAGCTGAACAGATGCTTCCCCACCCCAGCAAGGGCGTGAGCACAGTAGGAAACACTCCTTAGCCCATCTGAAGCCGGTTTCGAAGGACAGAGGGATTAGCGCGGTCCCAAACGCTGCTCGAACCCCCCCACCCGGCGGGCGGGGGGGACGCAACCTTCGCGCTCCGGCGCGGCCGGTCCCGCTGCGCTCGCCGTAGCTCCGAGCCGTACCGGGAAGCAGCGGCGCGGCGCGGGGGCTGCTGGGACATGTGGTCCTCCCGCCGGGCCGGCGCATTGGCGCCTCGTTCTCCGGCGCGGCCCGGGAACTACAGCCGGCGGCTGCCGGGGTGCGCCCGCGAGGATGGCGGCTCCTCTGGTGCTCGTGGTGCTGGTGGCCGTGACGGTCCGCGCCGCGCTCTACCGCTCCAGCCTCGCCGCCTTCATCTCCGAGCGGGTCGAGGTGTCGTCCCCGCTGAACGCCTGGAAGCGAGGTGAGGCCCGGCGGGTCCCCGGAGCGGCTGCAAGGGCCTAGGCCCGGGCGGGGGATGCCTGCAGCCTGTCAGGGGCGGTGAGGAGGGCGCCGGGCGGCAGTGCCGGACCCCTCCGCACCCGGGCGCGGCCAGAAGCCTTCGGGGTTGTCCGGGGAAGAGCGAGCGCTCGGCTGGTGCCGGGGAGTGGAAGGGACCTGGCGGAGGCGGGAGGACGGGGTTTAGCCCGTGTGTCGGCTGTCCTGCCATGCTGGTTGTGTCAGAGGTGGGCATCCGGGGGGAGAATGAGAGACGTGGTTTTGGCAGCACTGATTGAGTCATAGGGTTATAGAATCCCAGCCTGGTTTGGGTTGAAGGGACCTTAAAGCTCATTCAGCTCCAACCCCTGCCACGGGCAGGGACACCTTCCACTAGAGCAGCTTGCTCCAAGCCCCTGTGTCCAACCTGGCCTTGAACACTGCCAGGGATGGGGCAGCCACAGCTTCTCTGGGCACCCTGTGCCAGCGCCTCAGCACCCTCACAGGGAAGAGCTTCTGCCTCAGAGCTCATCTCAGTCTCCCCTCTGGCAGGTTAAAGCCATTTCCCTTGGCCTGTCCCTACAAGCCCTGGTCCAAAGCCCCTCTCCAGGTTTAAGCCCCTGTAGGCATTGGAAGCTGCTGTATGGTCTTCCCAGAGCCTTCAGTTGTGTCCATCACACTGTACCTGCACACGCGTGGGAGTTTTTGTAGAGCTGTTCACAGTTTCATCTTCTTCGTTCAGTTTGTGCCCCACACGTTGTTACCAACGTGATTCCCGTTCTTATCTGAAGTCTGAGGTACAGTTTAACTGGGGCTTTTTGGTGGCATCCATCTCTATGTTAAGATGTTTAAGCCTGTGCGGAACCTTCATTTATTTTAAAGACATCCCCCTGGGAAAGTAATATCTAGTTATTATGCAGGAAAAACATATTTGCAGTTTTAGGGTGGAAAACAGTGGCACAGAGTAATAAAGGTCAAAAGCTTGAATGCATGTCATGACCTGAGGCCTCTGCTCCGCAGTGCACCTCTTCACACTCCATAGTGTCAAAATACAGCTCCCAAGCATCCCCTTGCAGCAGAAGATGCTTTGTAAGTCTTGTCTTAGAGCATCAAGGTAGGCATGGAGGTAGCGAGGAGCACAGGATCACCTGGAAAAGCTGGGCTGCTGTCATACAGGGAGTCTGTGGCAGAGATGGGGTCTTCTCCTCCAGCGTATTGCTGAACCCAGACCC